ATAAGTCAAGTAGTTTTCTTCATGTTTAGTAGTTTATGTACCTTGAAGGAAATATTAATTTTAGTTTTATGCCCCCATTTTGCTACCTGAAAATCTTTCATCAAATTTCTATTTGGAGTTTTATCCATTTCTGTGACTTACTCTCTTTCAGATTAAAATTAATTTGAAAACATCACCATTTTTCTGTTTTCCTTTTGCTTCAGTTTTGCCTCAATTGAGTCTTGAATTGTTTTCAGTTATAGAAGATTTGCCGGCACCGCGGCTCACTGGCCTAATCCTCTGCCTGCGGCGCAGGCACCCTGGGTTCTAGTCCCAGTTGGGGTGCCGGTTCTGTCCCGGTTGCTCCTCTTCCAGTCCAGCTCTCTTCTGTGGCCCGGGAAGGCAGTGGATGATGTCCCAAGTGCTTGGGCCCTGCACCTGCATGGGAGACCAGGAGGAAGTACCTGGCTCCTGGCTTCAGATCGGCGCAGGGCACAGGCTGTAGCAGCCATTTGGGGGGTGAAGCAATGGAAGGAAGACCTTTCTCTCTGTCTCTCTCTCTCACTTTCTAACTCTGCCTGTCAAAAAAAAATTATATAAAATTGGGGAAAAATACCTAACTCTTATGCTCACTAATTTTCTCTTCCCCCCTTTTTTTCTATTTTCCATATTGTATATTATCATTTTATTTGTTTTTTATTTTTGGAGATTTGGAAGCAGATTCACAATTCTGTAGCTTACATTATCTTCATAATTAGCTAATAATCTCAGGCTGCATGCTTCAATAAAATTGAACTATGCAATATGATAGGTACTAGCAATGTGTGACTATTGAGAGATTAAAATGTGATAAATAAAACTGATACTTTTTTTCCATTTTAACTAACTAGAAGCTTAAATCGCCACATGTGGCTGGTAGCTACCAAATTGTACAGTGCAGAGTATTAATGTATGTAATTAAATTGGGTAAATTTACTCTCCACAAAGCTGAAATTACTGAGCAGAAATGGCTAACTTTAACTTTCTAAATTATGTCTTTTAAAGAAAATATAGTTTTGAATGTCACACTATGAATAATTTTTTGAAGTTTTAAATCAATAACATCAAGGTCATTAGTGAAAAATTTAGCATTGAAGATGTTGCTATTTTCTCTCTTTCTCTCACACTTTGCAAACCATTAAGCTTCCTTCAAAAACTAACACAATTCATGCCAAAGGTAACTCAATTATTGATTGACACCAACAACTTTTTCTTAGAGTTATCATCATGGTTATAAAAATAGCAAATCACCTAGCATAGTTTTGTTTACTAAGAGGAATTTGAAGTTAAATTCAATTTGAGTAAATATTTTTTAAAAAAATTTTATTTAGTAAATATAAATTTTTAAAGTACAGTTAATGGATTACAATGGCTGCCCCCCATAATTTCCCTCCCACTCACACCCCTCCCATCTCCCGCTCCCTCTCCCATTCCATTCACATCAAGATTCATTTTCAATTATCAGAAGATCAATTCAGTATATATTAAGTAAAGATTTGAGTAAATATTAATTACAAGAGTTCAAGTTGTTTCATAGTCATGTCTTATTCATACATCTTTATGCTGTGTTTATTATTACTATACAGTTGACAGTTGATAAAAATATCAACAACATTTGGGTAGTTTGAAGAGTTCTAAAACAAAAATAGATTGATAGTTCCTAGCATAGTTAGGGAAAGGAATCATCTGTATTACTTTGATGCTTTTCTAAAACACTGGTGATTTCACAGTTTTTCCTATATGTTCAATAACTAGTGGAAAATCATCTTTCGATTTTGCTGATTAGTGCCAGCATGGCAATTGCTTCCATAATGCTACTAATATAATTAAAATGTAAGGAAAAAAAGCAACACAGTTGTCCTGAAAAACCACAGTAACGAATACTAGGTTTTAAAATACATAATGCTGAAATTTGCAATTAGATAAGAACTTAACACTAATGTATGGTGTATTATTATGATCAATTAGTTATATTAACTGTGGTATTCTTGACCAAGAGAAACAAGCCAAAAAATTATATATGACTTACAAAAAGTGCTGGTAACCTGCAGATACTGGTTGTCCTTGTTAGTCAAAAAGTTTGTACTGTTGGTTAACATTTTTAAGTGATAGCATTTCACATTTGCCTTCAATAGAAAATATTTTTTAAATTTATGTACCTTTAGTTTTGTCTACCCATATAAAACAAAGACATGGTCAAATGACCATCTGAAACAATTGAAATATTCTGTGCCCTGACAGATGATGGAAATGTGACTCAGGATGTCTGTGAGAATCTTCTTTTGGGTTGTTCTTTGCCTACACTGTTGAATCCATCTAAATCTATCCTTTAACATATTTTAATACAAATGTCCTAAATGCACAATATCCATCACTGATATTTTCTAAAACATCAGGAACCTGTTTGAGTAAGATACAATTCATAATATGTTAAGGCTTTTCAATTTTAGTATTATTAACAATATGGTATTGGCTTTTTAAATCTTGTCTTTTTTCTACATGGCTTCTAAATCGTAGACATATCAACCCCATTTTAAAACTTTAAGACTGCATTAATCTTACTTTAACTTGCTTTTAGTAAGTTAACATACAAAGATTTGTTTCTTTCCACTAAAACAGTTCTCTCAGATGCAGACATATTTGTTAATCCAAATTTAATCTCAGTTTACACATATACATATACATTTGATTTCTTAGCAAAGAGTAGTAATATATTCTTTTCTGATCTTATATGTGAAGTTATGCTTCTCTGTCTTTACCAGTACATTTGAAGTTTACTTTCGGTATTGTATTAAAGAAAATCTCGATAATTTTGAATATGTAGTTGGAACATTTATGTCATTGTGCAGATACTTTAATATTATTTTTGGCAGTCATTGTTTTATATATGTGTTTTCCAAACCAAACTGTAAATTTTCAAAGTTGTTTTGATAGACTGCTTACATAAATATTAAATAATAAATTATCTTAAGTGCACTTAATCATACTTGCACACATATATATGCTAATGTTCACTGATCAAACCAAACAAAATTATTGCTAGTGTTTGAGGTGGCATTGTGTATTATAGTATTGTGTTTGTCATCTTTTCATCACTATGAGATACCTGAGGTAGGCTACTCATGAAGTAAAGGAGATTTATTTAGGTCATAGTGTGGGAGGTTCAAGGGTACAGTGCTGGCATGGTTTAGTTCTGCTGTGAACTTCATGGTGAGTGATGGATGCTGGAGCACATGTGGGAGCAAACACTGTTACCTTGGATTGGGATCAGTGAGAGACAGAAAGAGGGGCCAGGTTTCTTCCTTTTAGACTACTTTATCAATAAACTCAAGGGGATGAATGCAGAATTTCTCATTACCCCATGACCTAAGGATGTCCCACAGGGTTCCAGCTCTCAGAGGTTTCACCACCTAACAAAACCACCATCCTGGGAACCAAGCCTCTAACCGCAATGGACCATTGAGGTACACTGAGAAAACTCCCAAAACTTTACGACTATTAAGTTAAAATTTTTCTAATCCAGACCAGTATCCTTTGGAAAGTCCTGACCTACCTCTGTACTGTCCCATGTGGTAGTCACAAGTCACAGGTGCCTGCTGAGCACTAAAAATATGGCAAGTCCAAATTGAGATTAAGTATGAAAAAAAAATTTCACTAGTATTTTTTATATGTATTACATGCTGAAATAATATTTTAGATCTATTTGGTTAAATACAATACTAAATGAATTTGAACTTATTATTTTGACTTCTCTGAATATAGCTACTAGAATATTTTATACTACATATAGTTCATTCTCTCTCTCTCTCTCTCTCTCTCTCTCTCCCCCTGTCTCCCTCCCCCTCCCTCCCCTCTCCCCCTCTCTCCTCACATATAAATATTTAAAAAACTGTGAAAGCATTGCAAATGAAAGAAAGATAGCCACATTCCCAATAAGCCACTATCTTTTTGTAATTTTTTCTATTCTGTGGCATGGTGCTCTTTGCTAAAGATGCTAATTCTTCTTCATCTTTTAATAACCTTATATTCTTTCTTTATGAAAAGAGCCTTTTTAACCTGGGATGCCACAATAGCATTTGCTTTATTACTCAGTGTGTCCTATGTATGTCCTTGGCCTGTGGGTAGTATTTCCTTAAAAACAAATTAAACCTTATCCATAGAACTCATAAGAAGGAATAAGCACATCAGATGTATGAACATATTTGTTGCCTTAGCTGATATTTACAAGTGTATTTTTCCATATATCATTAGGTAGAACACAGCACTTTAACTTGGAGTTAAAATTAGCAGGTACAATGTCAAAGGAGAAAAAGGGTTTTCTGATTATTAGGTGAAGACAGATATATTATAAAGATAAAGTCAGTTGTTCTTCTCAACCCTGACTTTCTGAATTGTGGATTCTGATTTTTGAAGCATCACACTCTAGTTCAGTGGTGTGGATTTGGTTACGTCTGGTCCCAAACAGGTAGTGTCTTTTGTCATTATGCAGTATGATACACATGTAATATGGCTACTTTCTTCAGATAAAATTTATGTGTTTATATTTCAAAATGTGAGATCAGAGCTGGCACTGTGGGACAATAGGCTAAGCTTATGCCTGTGTTGCTAGTATCCCATATGGGCGCTGATACTCTCTTGTGATCCAGCTCTCTGCTTATGGCCTGGAAAAGCAGTGGAAGATGGTCCAAGTGCTTAGGCCCCTGCACTTGCATGGGAGACCCAGAAAAAGCTCCTGGCTTCCTTGGCCCAGCCCATTGGGGTCATTTGGGGAGTGAACAAGTGGATGGAAGACCTCTCTCTCTCTCTCTCTCTCTCTCTCTCCCTCTCCCTCTCCCTCTCCCTCTCCCTCTCTCCCTCCCTCCCTCCCTCTCCCTCCTTCTCCTCCCCCTCCGTAACTGTATCTCTCAAATAAATACTTTAAATAAATTTGATATTACCTCATTCATTTTGAAGGAATAATTTACTGTCTCTCTTACATTCAGGTTCAAAACATTATTTGTGGCTGGAGAACGATGTGATGTGGAGACTCTGGAGTGGTCCAAAAAGGTCTTCCGAGTACCTGTGCTGGATCACTGGTGGCAGACTGGTGAGTGTTTTCCAAGCATGTATGTAAACATGGCAGAAATGCTCAAAAGCACTGCAAGGATTAGAGGAGATCCTGACAAAGGCCATGAGGCACAAAGGTGAGGTGCAGATGGTTCTGATTTCGGTAGAAGTAAACAACTGTTTGACTGTTGTATCATTAGTCATGTCTTTATAAGTGACATTCATGACACCGTTTGCTAGGTACCTAGTTTTAAAGTACTAAAGACTTCTTTATTTTCTCTTGTTTCCTGTATTCAGCAGACTTATAAATCTCTGGTTCTCTTTTCACATGTCTGTTTGCTTCATCCAACATTTAGGGCTCCCATTGCTTTTGAGCTGGGGTGGTGACATTATCTGCCTTGATTTAAAGTATTCTCATCTGTCAAATTTGTTTGCTCTGCTTTTTTATATAACCCTGTGTAATGAGTCCAGAGTACTTTTTAAAAGCATTGTTCCTCTCATAGGATTTTCTGTCAGACTTCTTGTATTATGTAAAGTCAAATCTCTTTTTTAGCATTCAAGGCAGAAACTTCAAAAACTATGTGAAAATGTAATTAAAGGATGAAAAAGAAAAATATAAATTTTATTTTCTCAACATAAACTCCATCAATCTCAAGACAGATTTTAAGTGATATCAGCCATTTAGTACATTCCTAAATTTATTCCAAGGTATTTAATTTTTTTACAGATATTGTGAATGGTGCTGATCTTAGAAGTTCATTCGCAGCCATGTCATTGGCTGTGTATGCAAAGACTAATGACTTTTGTGTGTTAATTTTATATCCTGCCACTTTACCAAACTCTTTTATGAGTTCTAATAGTCTCTCAGTGGTATTTTGGATCCCCTATATATAGAATCATGCCATCTGCAAATAGGGATAGTTTGACTCACTCTTTTCCAATCTGTAGCCCTTTCATTTCTTTTTCTTACCTAGTGGCTCTAGCTAAAACTTCCAGGACTATATTGAATAGCAACGGTGACAGTGGACAGCCTTGTTTGGTTCTGAATGTTAGGGGCAATGCTTCCAACTTTTTCCCATTCAGTAAGATGCTGACCATGGGTTTCTCCTAAGTGGCCTTGATTATGTTGAGAAATGTTCATTCAATAACCAATTTACTTAAAGTTTTCATCATGAAAGGATGTTGTAATTTATCAAATGCTTTACCTGCGTCTATTGAGATAATCATGTCATTTTTGTTCTTCAGTTTGTTAATGTGATATATCATATTTATTGATTTGTGAATGTTGAACCATCCCTGCCTACCAGGGATAAATCCCACTTTGTCCAGGTGAATGATCTTGCTGATGTGTTACTGGATTTGCTTAGCTAGTATTTTGTTGATTGTTTTTGCATCTGTATTTCTCAGGGATATTGGCCTATAGTTATCTTTCTGTGTTGTATCATTTTCATGTTTATGAATTAAGGTGATGCTTCGTAAAAGGAGTTTGGGAGGATTTCTTCCCTTTCAATTGTTTTGAATATCTTGAGAATTGGAGTTATTTCTTCTTTAAATGTCTGGTAGAATGTGGGAGTAAAGCTATCCGATCCTGGCCTTTGTTGGGAGGGTGTTTACTACTGATTCAGTTTCTACCTTTGTTATTGGTTTGTTTAGGTTATCTAAGTTTAAATGACTCAATTTTGGTAGATTGTATGTGTCCAGGAATCTATCCGTTTCCTCTAGGTTTCACGATTTGGTGTACAGCTGTTTGTAGGAATTCCTGATTCTTTTTATTTCTGTGGTATCTGTTGTTTTATTTCCTCTTTAATCTCTGATTTTATTTATTTGCTGATTATTTTTTTTGGTTAGTTGGGCCAATGGCTTATCAATGTTTGTTTTTTTCAAAAGACCAGTTCTTCATTTTGCTGATCTTCTGTTTTTTGTTGTTGTTGTTGTTTCAATTTTATTTCTTCTCTGATTTTAATTATTTCTTTTTTTCCTGTTAGTTTTGGGTTTGGTTAGCTGTTTTTTCTCTAGATCCTTGAGATGCATCGATAGCTCATTTATTTGGTACCTTTCCAATTTCTTCACATAGTCGCCAATTACTGTAAACTTCCCTCAATACTGCTTTTGTTTTATCCCCTAAAATTTGATATAGATTGTCATCCTCATTCATTTCCAGAAATTTTTTTTTTTTTTGGGACAGGCAGAGTGGACAGTGAGAGAGAGACAGAGAGAAAGGTCTTCCTTTGCCGTTGGTTCCCCTCCAATGTCCGCTGCAGCCAGCGTACCATGCTGATCCGAAGCCAGGAGCCAGATGCTTCTGCTGGTCGCCCATGTGGGTGCAGGGCCCAAGGACTTGGGCCATCCTCCACTGCACTCCCTGGCCACAGCAGAGAGCTGGCCTGGAAGAGGGCCACCGGGACAGAATCCAGCGCCCCGACCGGGACTAGAACCCGGTGTGCCAGCACCGCAAAGCAGAGGATTAGCCTAGTGAGCCGCGGCGCCGGCCTTTCCAGAAATTTTTTGATTTCTTCAGTGACCTACTGTTCATTCAGGAGCATGTTGTTCAATCCCCATGTGTTTGCATATGCTCTGTAGTTTCTTGTTGTTGATTTCCAGTTTCATTCCATTGTGGTCAGAGAAGATGCATTGTTATATTTTAATCATGTCTATGAAGGCTTAAAGTCTTCATATGTTCTTAAAGGCTTTTTAAATATGAGGAAATAAAAAGTTAGAGATAACTCAGAGCTAGAAGAATAGATACCTAATGATTTCTCCTCATAACTCTTACAAAACTGCCCTTGTTTAATGAAAGAAATTACCAGGAACACTGGTGCAACTATTTTGGCGCTCAGCAGAACGCATGTCCAACTTTAACTTTTCATTCAGAATTGTGTAAGCTAAACCAGTTGAGATGTTGATGGTGTTGGTCATTGTTTTAGTTGTCAGTTATCAATCCTTGTCAATTTGTCCTTGTCAAGATTAGTTTTCTTTGCAAATTGATGTGGGTGATATTTTGCTGTTGGCTTTGCCTTGAACATTGTCTCATCCTCTTCTTACAGTGAGTTAACCACTTGTAAATTGCTGATTTTCCCCATAAACTTTTCATAATGCCTCAGTTATTTCATGGTTTTTCTACCCAGGCCTCATCATAAATTTGATGTTTGTTCTTGTCTGAATTTTAGCAGAATTTGTGTTGTTCTGATAGAGGGTCCTTTCAAACTGATATCCTATCCTTCTTAGTGCCTCAGTCCTTCTCACACAAGTCAGAACAAGTTAGTATAAGTTTGATGGCTGTGAAAAGTTTTGAAATCTTTGTGTAGTTTTTTTTTTTTTTATAATACGTGTTTCTAATGGAACTTTTGAAGATCCTTTATATATGTAACTTACTTTGTTTATTCTTTTTTTAAAGATTTATTGTTATTTATTTGAGAGGCACAGTTACAGAGAGGGAGAGATAGACAGAGAGATCTTCCATCCACTGGTTTACTCCCCAAATGGCCAAAACAGCCAGGTCTGTGCCAGACTGAATCCAGGAGCCAGGAGCTTCTTCCAGGTCTCCCACATGGGTACAGGGGCTGCTTTCCCAGGTGTATTAACAGAGAGCTGGATTTGAGGTAGAACAGCCAGGACTCAACTGGCACCCAAATGGGATGCCGGTGTCTCAGGCAGTGGCTTTTCCTGGTGTGCCACAATGCCAGACCCTTTTTTATTCTTTAAATTTTTCTCAGAATAAATGATCTTTGAGGAAAAAATTTTCATATTAAGTGGATAAAATACAGATTTTGAATAAAAAAACAGGTAAATAAAACCTTTCTGCTGCTGCTTTTAGGGAATAGCTGAATTCATATGTGGAAGTGTAGATTATCTAAAACCTGAATTCTTTCTTACTGAGTATAGAGCTTTTGTCCTTTTGACCCTTGGTATGCATCTATGAATTATGGAAGCCTAATAGCCTTCGCATGTATATATTTCAGTTCAGTCCCACTTAGTTAAATGAGTTGGATCAAACCCTTTTATATTATTCTTTTTAGTTTCTGCTTTTATGAGCATCTGAGAAGGAATATAAAATTTGAATTAAAATTGGTGTAATTGATATGCAAAAATTAGGTTTGACTTCTTAAAATGATTATAGTCTATAAGGTCAAGTGAATTTCTAAAGCTGAAGTTCAGTGTTTGATGCTTTAGATCTTTCTGATTCTGATAAATTATGCTTTCATATTATATCCTTGACTATTATTCTTTGGAAAAATGAGGTTTCTATATCCTTTGTAATATAAAATATAAAATGATCAGAGCAAGAGGAATGTTCCTTTCATATTATGAAAATCATATATGGAGTTTTTATCCTGTCTAGGTTTATTTACTAAATTAAAAATTACTTAAAGTTCAGATTTGTAACTAGAAAATACAGAAGATAAGACTGAATCTGGAGAAAGATCAATTCTTTATAGAAATACATAAAAATAAGTAAAGAATTACTTTCTCTGTAAGGAAGAGTATAGCTTTGTTGTATCTATTCCTGATTGGCCAAGAAAGTTTTAACAGTTATTTTCCATGAACTGGAAAATATCTTATCTTCTTTGATATGGTTTTTCTTACGTGGTCAACATTGAAGGACTGCTTTCCATTTCCAAAGGAGCTCACACAAATGCTTACTGAAGGGTTTCATTGTTCCCCTTAAAGGTAACCATTTTGAGGTTTGTTGAAGGAAACCATAACATGCATGAATAAAATTGATTCTTTTATTTTTAAGGATATCTTTGTACATAGCAGTGTGTATAGATATAAGTATTTAGTGCATTCAGGCTTACCTGGAAGCTCACTGAACGTCTGTGGAACAAGGGTATAGAATTTCTGGTGAAAATTGAGTTTCATGTGAAACTCCAATTTTTCTTTATCAGAAAAATTGATAGCCACATTATGCCAGTGTGCTGTCACTTTAAGTTGGATGCTAGCTCATTACTGTGGAAGACAGTAGACTTAGACTAAAAAAAATGACTGATTTTCCTTTTTGTGTCTTTTGTCTCATTGTGCAATCTGTCCAATTAAACTACA